TACTTTTCAACGTCTTGAGTAGCTACAGCTGCTGCGATTACTCTTCGTTGTTCGGGCACATTAGCGATATCTAAACTGTCTCGTTGAGTTGGCCAACGCTCTTCGCTCTCAAGTAGCCACTGTGGTCCATGCCACCAAAGATTGTGTTCAGAGAGCTGCTCGACTGTCACGCCTCTTGAAGCACAATCAGCAGGGTTGAGAGAGCCTGGTACATGACGCCACTGGGCCGATGGAACAAGTTCTTGAATGTGCGCAACTCTGTTTCTTACAAAGTCCTTCCATCGCGAAGCGTGAGACTTAATCCATGCGAGTGTAACTTGAGAGTCTGTCCAAAGGTGCGTTGAATGAACATGAAAGTGAAACGTATCCAAGATATGCCGAGTAAGCTTTGCAAGCAAGTGAGCCGCCGACAATTCGAGCTTCGGAATTGAGAGATTTTTGAGCGGTGCCACCTTTGTCTTGGAGCATAAAAAGTGAGATGAGTAGCCTGTCACCTGTGAGTGCACTCTTATGTATAAAACAGCGGACATGGCAAACTGAGAAGCGTCAGAGAAACCATGTAACTGTATTGTCGCATCACTTGAAGTATTCAGCCACCGAGGCAGTGACAGCGTATTCAAGCGACGAAAATCTTGTTTCATGAGTATCCATCTTGCTCGAATGGATTCTGGCACTGGTTCATCCCATGTGAGTTTGTGAAGCCACAGTTCTTGTAGGAGGACTTTTGCTTTGATGGTGACAGGTGAGATGATGCCTAGGGGATCGAATATTTGAGCAACTTCTGAAAGAATAGAGCGTTTCGAAATGTTTCTTTGAGGCGGCGGCACCATGACTTTGAACTTGAGCGAATCTTCATGAGTGTCCCAGTAAAGTCCAAGGATCTTGGCTTTACAGTCGTCCAAGGATATGGTGGTTGATCTGTTGCTGTCAGGCAGATCAGCACGAAAGGATTCGCTGTTTGAGCTCCACTTTGCCAACGGGAATCCGCCTGCCAAGCACAGATTCGTTAAGTCTTGTGCTACGTGTTTGAGCTGCTCGTCACTGTCTGCTCCACCAAAAATATCATCTACATATCGTCCTTTGGTGAGAGAGTCAATTGCTGAAGGAAATCTGTGACCTTCGTCCTTGACAAGCTGCAGCAATGAGCGAACTGCTAGGTATGGAGCTGCCCTGGTCCCATACGTGACTGTTTTGAGCTGCCAATGAGTTTCATTTGATTTCTCGTCGATCCAAACTATGCGCTGGAGATCGACATCTCTTTCATCAACGAGAATTTGCCTGTACATTTTTGTGATGTCAGTAGCGAATAACAGTCGAAATGAGCGAATCCAGATGAGCACATCGACGATGTTGAGCAAGAGATTCGGACCCGCATACATGATGTCGTTGAGAGAATGTCCTGATGAAGTAGCAGCAGATCCATTGAATACGACACGCAATTTGGTCGTGACATTGTCTAGTTTCAGCACACCATGATGTGGCAGATAATAGGCAGGGGCAGTCGAAGGCTTCGATGACACTTGCGTCATATGGCCCAGCTGCGCATATTCTTGCATAAAAGCTTTGTAAAGCTCCTTATACTCTGGATCTCTGTCTTGCTTTGCGAGTATGCTTCTCAAGCAGGCACGAGCTCGAGTGAATGAATCGCCTAGTACTGATGCAGGTTGCTTCAATGGTAATCGTACTATATATCTACCAGTAGAGTCTCTTGAATGAGTGGTGACAAAGTGATTTTCACAGAGAGCTTCTTCGTGGGTGAGTGATGCATTTTCTGAGACTGGAACTTCTTCTTGTGTCCAGAACTTAGTGAGTAGATCGTCGAGATTTGAATCATCTTGAGAGGTCGAAGCTTGCAAGCTTCGATATACTCTAATTGGCACACCACCAATGGGGCCAACTGCCAACCAGCCAAAAATTGAGAGTTGTGCCATAGGCTCGTCTGAGCTTCCATAGATAATGTTTGGCTTAATGATTGATGGGTAGACATCCGCTCCGATTAATACATCGACATGACGTGGCTGTCCAAACGAGGGATCGGCTAAGTTCAAGCCATTGAGATGTGACCATTGGCTTTCGTCACAAGGCGTTGATGGAACAGCTGAGCTTATTTTGTTGAGGATGTCTGCTGAGAACTGCACAGTCAAGTCTCGATGCATCGACTTGAGTGCAATTGTCACTTTGCCTCGAGTATGAGCTGAGTGACAGCCTCCTATTCCCGAGACAGGCACTGACGAGTGTACTCGTTTCAAGGCAAGCATATCAACAACATGAGATGTCACGAATGAGACTTCTGAGCCAGGGTCTATGAGAATTCTCACTAAATGAGTACCGTGAGCGTGGACGACGTGAGCCATAGCTGTGGCGAGCAATGAACCGCCGTTGCTGTGTACTGATCCGTGATGGCTAAGCTTGGCGTTATTAGCATCTACTTTGTTGGAATTGTCGGCCTCTTGATGAATCATTGTGTGGTGTGATTGACCACACACCTTGCAGCGTATAGATGATTTACAATTACGCACCGAGTGCCGTCCAAGGCAGTTGTAGCAGAGTCGCTCTTTTACAACGACGTTTCTGCGCTCTTCTAATGAGAGATTCTTGAAGCGCAGGCATGCTACGATGAAGTGTCCTGGATCTTCACACAGAGAGCAGGGATACGACGTATCCTGCTTCTTACTTGAAGGAGCCTTTGATGAGTTATTCGTTGGTGATTTAGGTTTGAGCGTGCCTACGTTCGCTTTCACGTGCTTTGATGGCGAAGACCCTGGCGAGTTGGCTGACTCTCTGCCATCTACTCGCTCGATTGCTCGAATACGGGAAACTAGAAATTCATACAGTTGATCAAAGGAGCAGTCACCTTCCAGGCCAATAGTGTGAGTTTCCCATGCCTCCTTTGATGGTCGATCGAGCAATCTCACCAGTTGAGAAACAAACATCAAATCTGCCAATTTCTCCTTGTCCGTGAGAGTGAGCAAGGCTTGGCGAGCTTTAGCAAAGCTTGAGGTGAGCAAGTTCAATGAGGCTGCATTTTTGGCTTGAGCAGGAGCCGTATTGCTGAGCATATCCAGGTATGATTGGATGATGTATCTCTTGTTTTCGTAGCGCTTTGACAGCATCTCCCAAGCAGCTGTGAGAGAGTCACCTGACAGAGGTAGGCCTTGAATTACCTGCAAAGGCTCTTTGCTCAGTGAGCCTCTGAGATAGTGAAGCTTCTCTACGTTGCTCAAGCGATCGTTGTCCAAAATCATCGTCTTGAACATTTCCTTGTATGAAGGCCAATCAGCATATGAGCCAGAGAAATTAATTAACTTAATTTCTGGCAATTTTGGGCGAGACTTGTCATTGCACGTTGAGGTTGAGCTTGAGTTGGGCTGATGAGAGATGAACTTGCCACTGGCCTTGAGTTTTTCCTTGAGCACTGCCAATTGTAGAGAAGCTCGATGAAACCACCCTTCTGCTGTGTATAGTGGGCGTTGGCTGAAGTAGGCATGGTCATGCAGAGTAGAAGGGCAGCCTGCTTCAAGTCGAGTGTGCTCCTCCTTAAACTCCTTGAAGAGTTGCTGCAGGTGCGTTGACCAGTACTCGTACATGGCCACGCCTGGATCCTCCTGGTTGGCAATTGAGGCGAGCATGTCCTTGATGCTCTCAATGCGGTCTTCTTGAGACTGGAGACGACACATGTACTCTGCAAGGGTGGCCTTTGAGGTTGTTCTAGGAGAACGTTTCTTGGTTTCATTATTCTTGTTGTTCTCAGATGTTGAGCCAGTGGGTGAGGGTGGAGGCAATTGCTGCTGTTGAGAGCTCCCATCAGGAGCCACGACGTTGACCTGGGGCACCTCGTCCTTGAGCTGTGTATCCTTAGACTTGGTCTCTCCAGTCTTGGTGTCTTGAAACTCCTCTCGCTCAGGAGAAGATTCTCTTGAGCTCCCAGAATGAGTGGACATGATGAGTTGGCGGTGAGGTTATCTGTTGAGTGTGAAACTAATGAGTGTTGAACTATTGTGCAGTGCCCTTGAATGACCTTTCTCATGCACCACATCCGGCTCGAAGGACCAAATGTTTGAGAATTATTTAAACAAATACTGAAAAAGGATGGGTGCATGA